GCTTTTTACAAATGATTGCTAGGCAGTTGTTAAGAATCTTGGTGAAGCATTTACGTGTTGTCTCCAGCAGAATTATGGATCTAGTATTGTTAAGTTCTCCTTGCCAATCTCTACCTTTGGAGATTGAATAAAGGAGACTGCTCTTTTAGGATATTGGTATTACTCTGAAGTTGAGAAACAGATTGAAAAGATTGAGAAGAGTCTTTTTTTTGAGGGGTCTAGCTTTTTGAGCATTTCATATTTTATTTTGGATAGTTCTGCTGCCTTGTCATTGAACAAGTCCTGAAGAACTTCTTTCAGTTCGCTAGGTTGAATTTCTTTTTCTATAGTGCTATATCATTCTTCTTGAATATCGTACTTGGGTTTGTATTACTCTTTCCATTAATTGTCAAGGATATTGAAATTGCTGTTGCGCTTTCGAAATGCCTATTGATAATAAAGTCTTGTTTGGTACAGGATTTCCTCCTTGTCAATGGTAATATATTCTCGACTGTTCTTATTTATTATTTTGATTCTGTCAATTGTGATTTTTCTCTAAAATTGTTTGTTAATATTTGAACTATTCTTCATTGATTTTCTTTGAGGTCTTGGCATCTAGCCTCAATTGCTTTTTGGATCTTCTGGTTAACCCATCTTTTTTCTTCTTGTATACAAATTTTCTTAAGAATTATTTTCAAGATGTATATTTGCTCGATGGTAAGTACTAAGTCCTTGTTAGATATGTTTGTATTAAGGATTTTTAGCTCAGCAATGGCCTGCAGATTATCAGATAGTATTTCTGAGGCTCTTGATATCCATCTGTTGAGTTGATGTATCAAAAAAGGGGATAAAAATCCAGGTGGCTTCTTATTGAGTTTCTTTTAAATCTTATACAAATCTTTGAATATACTGACTAGTTTCTTCTCTTTAATGTTTTGTATCTTGCCACTTGTATTAATGTATCCTCTGGAGCCTCTTTTTTCACAATAGAGGTTGTTGAATGCTGTAGCAATCAATATTTTTTCAAAGTCTTTCCAAAGTTTCTATATCTGTAAGACATGTCTTTGGAAGTTCATTTGTTAACAGGCTGCCTCCGTTTTTTTCAAGAGTTTAGTTTTTAGAATTTGTTTTCTATCTTTGTTTTGTATTTGTTCTATTGCTTGTCTATAGTTTTGCTAACCTCAATTATCTTCTCATATTGGTGTGTAGCTTTGGAACAGTGTATAATAAAGATGTGAAGAAGTGTATCTTTGGTTATTTTGCAATGGAGAAGAGTATGGTTGCTATTTGTAATCTCCTTGAATTTACAATTTTGCAATTGGAGCATGTTATATGTTATTTCAACTGAGCACCAAATGTAATCTATTCTACTAGAACTCAAGCTGTTTTTCCAAGTATAAGATGGTTTTGGATTTTCCCAGAGCTGATATAAGTCCATAAGATTCCAGTCTAAGAGAAAGTTGAATATCGGTGCTTCTGAATCTTCTAAGGGGAAGAAGCTATTGTTTGCTTTGAAGTTTGTGTGATTATATCTAGGATTAAATGCTATATTAAAGTTTCCTATTATAATAATTTGATATTGCTAATGAATCTTATTTCTTATTATAATTTGTATTTTTCTCTGGATAGCCATACTTTTTTATTTATTATAGGGAAGATATACTTGAGCTATCCAAGTTTTATATCTTTTGCTAAGCAAGTTGATTGCTATAAGATGTTCTTCTATTTTGTCTACTTATACAATATACTTTTTCAGATTCAAATTTAATATCTATTAATAGTATTAAAGTTAATAATATAATTTTTAATATTAATAATATAATATTAAAATTCAATCAAATATTAAAAAATTAAAATAATATTTTGCTGAAACTAAAAAATTAAATAAAAAATTAAACCAAATTATTTTAAATATTCTTTCTAAATTAATTTTTGTTATAATTTTATTATTTTCAATTTGTTTTTAAATAATCAATTTTTTAAACAATTGAATAAGATTTATAAAAATTTTAATAAATCTTAATCAAATTAATCAAATAAATATATTTGAAATTTTGTAAAAAAATTTTATCAAATATTAATAATATTTATATATTTATTATAAATATTTTTTAGGAAAATTATGAATACTTATATCTAAATAAGTTAAGAAAATAAAAATTAAAATAACAAAAGTATAAATATTTTTTAAAGTTCAAAAAACTATAAAAATAAAAAATATATCAAAACTTATATCAAGACAAATAAATATTTATCATTTAATAATTGAAATTTTAGATTTATAAGATATATCAGGTAAAATATTTTTATATTAATTTTAAAATTAATTTTGAAATAATAATTTAATAACAAATAATTATCAAATAAATTTATATTATCTTGTAAATCATAATAATACAACTTTGATATAAATAATTGTTCTCAATAATAATTAAAAAAAATTTGAATATTATAAATTTTTGTATTTAATAATATTAGTATATACTTCAAATATTAGATCTCATCAATTAAAAAAATTTTATAAAAATTAAGTGAATATTTGGAAATATATAAATTACATTCCATAATGTTTTGTAATTTTGATAATTATTTGGAAACTATAGGAAGCTATTAATATTATTTATTATTTATATATTTATATTTTTTCTTTTTTATCTTATATTTATAATTTATTAATTATATATTTTATTAGATATATTAATTAGATATTAAATAAAATTTAAGCTATTGATTGATAAAGTTTTAATCAATTTAATAAAAGATTATTATCCAAATATAAAAATTTATTCAAAAATAAAATAAAATTAAATTAAATCATTAGAATCCTTATTTGAAGAAAAATATTGATATTAAGACCAATTGTGAATTTATTATATTATTTATTTCAGCTCAAGTTATATTACTACTATTAAAATATACAGAGAGGGAACAAAAGTTTTCGAATAGTTTTTTAAACCCTAATTTATTCATATTTCTATAATAAATAAAGCTATATTTAATATATAATTAACTATACAGTAAACTGATATGTAATTATTAATAAATGTGAAGTTATGTATAAGGTTATGTGCAAAGTATATTAAAGTATATTTTATATGATCAGCCTTTATAAATTAAGTTGTGATATGTTTCTAAAGTTCTTCAAAAAAATTTTTTTTTTATTTTTATGTTATATATATATATACTATATGTATATGGCAACTGATATTTCTCATGTAAAGATTCGTCGCAGATATATTGTATTGATTATAAAGTATATATTTCTAAGGGTAATAGTTTTAAGGATAATGGTTCTAAGAGTAATGGTTGATTTCAAGAAGACAATGCTCGTTCTTATATATCAAAGGTTGCAACTGAATTTTATATAGAAAAGATTTGCGTAAGTTGCTTTGATCTGTTCAGAATCCTGATCTTAATTCAATTAAGAACTTGTAAACTTTGGTTAAGCAATATATTCATAAGCAAAAAAAACAGTCATCCAGTTTTACTGAACTTGATAAGTGTATTAAAAAAGTATAAAAAATGATTCCTTAAAGTATGATTAAAAATTTAGTTAATAATATATTAAGATATATTTAAGCAGTAATTGTAGCAAAAAATAACATTACCAAGTATTAGATTTAATAAAAAAAAATTGCAATGAATCTTTTTCTTTATATAGCATTGATCATATTTTGATATGATACAAAGTAATATAATTTAATAATTTACTTATTTTATATTGATTAATATATAATTATATATTTATATTCTTTCGATATAGTTAATCTGTATATAAATATTATTTAATATATATTTAATTACAGAAATACAAGTAAACCGGAATTTAAAAAATCATTCAAAAACTTTTGTCCTCTCTCTATAATTTATTTTATATATTAACAGCTAAAGTTTGAAAAATTTGTTTGAAAATTGAGTTTTTACATATATAACCAAGCGATAGTTAAAATTTAAGTCATAATTCTTTAAGTAAATTAAAAAAAGCTATAATATCACCAGGATTTGTTTCTTCTATTTAAATGTAAAGCTCAATAAGTAAATAAACCATAAAAAACTCCAAAACATTAACATTATTATCAGGCACATCTAATAGATATTGACAAATTCTAGCTTTATATGTTCTGGATTATTATTAGTTTTAAACATTTCTTAAAATAATCTTTAAATAGCATATTGACAAGTACCAACTATTCTTTATAAATAGGTATCTCCAAGTCATGCTTTAAAGTAAGCTGAAATATCAATATTATTTTCTACATGTTGAAATAAAACTGATAAATACTTTTTTGCTATTTTCAATTTATAAATATCTTTCTTATGTACATCAGTAAAATTATTGGTATTTGCATTATTGATATTAGCAATTATTATATCAGTATAGCTTATAGCTGTTTCAATCCTATTACAATAATCATCTGGTGATTCCTGCCCAATATATGATGGAATATGGGCAAGACTTGCTTAAATAATTTGATAAATATGTTGTCTATCAGCAGCTGCCATGTTCAGATTTATAGGTGGATTATTCTGTAGTAATAAAATTTGGGCTTGTAAATTTAAAATTAATTGCTGTAAATTGCACTCCTTATTTTTCCATTTGATATGACTTGCCTTTCGATCCTTGAATTTATTGTAATATCTATCAAAAAGCTGATCATGATTATATTCCAATAATCCTTTATCAGCTTGACATTGTTGTGACTCCTGTTCTAAGCGATGAATAAATGCCTTATAAATAATTTTCAGAATATGTTTGAGTAATACCTTGGATTCATCTAGACTCGCTAAACTTTTAGCAGATATTATTAGAATATTTTCATTGATCGATAATTCTTGGTTGTATATATTTCTAGCAAATTGATGAGGAGTTTGTGGTCTATTGTACCCAGAGCTATTAGCTTCGTCTGTACCGCTGGTCGTTATTTCTGAGCTAGACCCTACACTTTCTGAACTCGATAATGATGGTTCTGGTAGTGTTGTTGCTTCTCCTAGTCAATTTCCACGAAAATTTAATTGAAATACTACTCCTGCTGATGATATGGCATTTCCTTCGTGGTTTTGGCCTATTCACGCAAAAATAATAGAAAATTTTGAGAAAAATTCATGTTAATAAACCATTATCATCATAGGATTCATTTATACTGACCTTCTTAGATACAGCCGAATCAGCCGACTCTTTATTCTGTAGATATAATAAATCATTAAAAATGATTGCATAAAATTCAATGCTTTATCAATATCTTAACCTTTCGTAACGATAAATATATTTTCCGTTTTGGTTTACGGATAGGCATGAAATAATCGTCGGACTAGATATGAAAGGAGTTAAATTGCTTTTATTTCAATTTTGTTTAATAAAAAACAATAAATTAACGCACTGTTTATGGATCTACTATACCTTTTCTTGACTTTTGTACGACAGGTTTGTCTCCTCTAGGCGTCTCGCAAACTTATTTCGTTCTTGTTTTATAAACTCCTCTCGCACAATCAGATCTTGTTTGAACGTCGAAGCCATAACATTTGTTGTATGCTCCTCCTTTAAAAACAGAAGAGCAGAGATGTTAGGATTTCATCACGCATATTGGGATACCGATAAGTCAAATATTCCATACCAACAGTGCCGTGCGTTCAGCAATAGTTGTAAGCTTCCGTTTTTGTAGCAACATAGAACTATCCCAGAATTCGTTTACTAATCCGATTTCTTCTCACTCTATTGACAATAAAATGATTAGTAAATTCAAGGAAAAAGTTTATCAACACTAAATCACAAAGACACAGCTCATGGTTGCAAGGACGAAACCACCCGAGACGAAACTCATACACTCCCCGAACGAAATCAGGGGTGCTGGGTAGTTGAACACAGGACGAAACCCCATCCAAAGAGCTAAAGCTCCTCAGACTCGTCCGCTGCTAACAAAGAAAGAAAAAAACGTAACTTGTAATGAAGCAAGTGCCACCTCAGCCCGATCAATCGCAATTTCGGATGCTTGTTCACAGTTAATTATAATCGCGAGGTTGCGAGTATATCGTTTATGTTCTTTGCACTTGTCAGCAGAGAAATCATTACACTATTGTCGATATAGTAAAAAACTTTGTAGAGACCAGTCATGGTCTAAAGTAAAGTAATCGTCCACCTGGATTCCTAACGAAAATAAAAGGTATTATACTCATAGAACTGACAGAATGAAGGCAGAAAACTGCTAAAAAATTTACCTTCCATTTTTCTGATTTTTATTTTGTATTTGTATGAGATAAAAAACTTTGTTTATATACACGAGACGCGTGCCGTCATCACATGACATATGACATGTGATCGTACTGATGAAATTCAAACTTAATTTTTATTATTATAGTGTCACGTGATTGTAGATCATATTGTTTCGCGAATTTTGAGCAAAACTATTATTTATATTACTTTATTTCTTTCAAATTTATTATCTTTAGATTTAAATATTTTTATTGTTTTTTATTGTTTTTTTTTTAAAATATGTCTTCTTTAAACTAAGAAAAAAATTTTTATATTATTTTATTTTCTTCCTTATTTCTTATTATTTAATTTATATTTTTCTTAAAAAAGTTTCACTACTTCAATTTTATTTTATTTTTTTTTTTAACTTAATTAGCTGGGCCTTATTCAATGTTGATACTTTATTTAGTTTACATATGTATTTTACATATTTTTACACAGGTAATTATTATTTATGAATTATTTTAAACTACTATTAGATTATATCAAATTTTATCCCATATTGATTTATTGCTATTGGTTGTCTTTTCAAATAAGTCAAGACTAATATACATATGCTCCATTAGTGTTGCTATTATATAAATGATATTCTATTTTCTAACCAGAAATGTTTTTAAGGGAAAGTGAAAGAAAAACTTGGAGATAATACCTATTAAGCAAATAGAATTCTGTAAAGGAAGTCTTTTAACCCAAATGAGTTGAGACCACTTGTAGGAAGAGATACTAGATACTATGGGAAAGCAATTATCAAACCATCTTATTCGAAAGTGAATGTCTCATCACCTTTTGCAACTTTTTCTTCCAGCAATCATCATGACACCAACCAGATGATCATTGCACCACGATACCTTTTCAGGAGACCATAATCTTAATGCTCACCAGATTGGCATGTGAATTGACTTCTTATAAGAAACAACACTTAACAGATCATGGTATCAGATACTATATTAATTTTATTCAATTGCCTTTATCAAGAATTGAACTGATATCTTGTGATTTGAATTTGGAAGCATTGATCACTATGCTATAGATCCACAAGTCTACTTCAATTTTATATAATATAATTTCTTATTTTTATTATTATTTTTTTTTATAATTAAACAAGTATATTTGAAGTTTATTTAATCTTATTGCAAAATATATATAAGCTAAATTACTTATATATATAAATTCTAAATTTTATATTTGAATATCTATTTTTAATATATTTGTTTTTAAGTATAATTTTAAAAATAAATATTCTTGCTTACTTACAAAGAATAAACAAAAGTTTATAAATAATTTTTTTTTTTTAAATAAAATTTATTTTAAAAACTAATTAAACTTTTTTAATAAAAATATATTCAATATATATTCAATTTATTTATTTATTTATTTATTTATTTATTTATCTAATCAGGCTGTATATTCAAGTTTTATTAATTTGACTTAATAATCAATTCGCCCTAGTACAAATGTTACAGAATACCTGTGAACATACATATATTACTGGCTAAACTTATTTACTTATACAGCACACCTGTTAGCAACCAATGGTCTCTAGATGTGATTAAGGGAGATGAACAAGTTGCTCAATTAAAGAAAAATGTTCCTTGTTATTCTAAA